AAAAAATAACAGCAAACACGAGAATAGAGTGCAAGTGAAGCTAACAGCAGGCTCGGAATTGGGGACAGATTGTGGCCTAGAAAGGTGACAGCACACGCGGCCGGGGGCCGGCGGGGCCAGCCCCCCGTGGGGACAGGAGTTGGGGTCAGCGCCCCGAGCCGCGCCGGCCCCGAGGATTTTTTTCTCTCTCTCCTCACCTGCCGGGCCGCCCTAAGAGCCGCAATCCCTCACCTTCCACCTAAAGATAGCAAAGCCCTCCCCGAGCCGCGTTAATCCCGGCTGCTCATCCCGCGCTGCTCCCGAGGCTGCACCAACCCCCGGCCCCACCCCAAAATCCCCCCGAARTGTCCCCAGGTGGTGCCGCGCACCCCCAAACACGCGGGAGGTGTTTTTGAACTCCTTGCGAGCGGCACGGCAGCCCCAGTGCGGCGATTTTCGGGGTTTTTTAATGCCGAAATCCCACCTCGACACAGGCTAACAGCATTAGCGGCTGTCAGGGCTGCAGACSGGAGCCAGCCCCGAGTGACACGGGAGCTGCTCGGCTTTACGAGCAGGAGCCAGCCCCGGGGATTTTGGGAGAGSAGGAAAGTGGCTTTAGATCAGAAAATTCCTCCGGTGCGCAGGAACAGGCGGCGTCTTGGTGTGCAAAGGGAAGGGAGGGGGAGAGGGGAGAGCAAAGCCGCTTTGGGCTGCTGCAGATGAAAATTTGGGGGAATGAAACACCCGCAAAGATTTGTCACCCATTCCTGCTCGGCCCTGCTRGGGTGCRGGACCCYGTGGGACACGGTGTGGCTGACCRGTGTCACRGAATMGTGGRATGGTTTGGGTGGGAAGGGRTTTAAACCCACCCAGKGYCACCTCAGGGTCACCTCCCGCTGTCCCAGGGTGCTCCAGCCCAGCCTTGGGCACTTCCAGGGATCCTGGGGCTCCTCAGGGAATCCATCCCAGCCCCTCTTCACCCTCAGAGGGGAGGAATTCCTTCCCAAAATCCCATCCATCCCTGCCCTCTGGCAGTGTGACCCCATTCCCTGTGTCCTGTCYCTCCATCCCTTGTCCCCAGTYCCTCTCCAGCTCTCCTGGAGCCCCTTYAGGCMCCAAAAKGRGCTCTGAGCTCTCCCYGGATCCCTCCCTTYTCCAGGCTGGTGCCTGACGCCAACTGGGTCACCCTCCCAAAGCCACCMTTCYCCGTTCCCTCACCCCAGGACACCTCAAAACCAACATTCACCGACTGCCGGGAGCCACTGCCACTCCAAAAACTCAAATCCACATCTCCACCCCCCACCTTTGCCCCCCGCATCCCCGGGAAGGGSCGTCCTGCCCTGCTCCTCCGAGAGCAGGTGACGACAGCACCACATTCCTCCTTTCCCCCGCTAATTGTTTATTAATTAATTGATATTTTGGGGGGAAGCGAAATATCCCGTTAATCCCAGAAAAAAAGCATTCGCCCCTCCAGTGAGGCACCGGTTTTGGGGAACGCGCTCCGAGCGGGCAGGGACTTTTCCGAGAGGCGCTCAAGGAGGGGAGAGAGAGAGGGATTTGGTGCGCCGAGGGTGCCCGAGGAGCTCGACGGATCCCGCGGAGCCGCCGGGGCTGCGCAGGAATTAAAGATTTATCCAAACGAAAGCAAATAGGGTGTTAAGCGACACACATGTGAGAGCGAGCGGTTTCCGTGGCAACCGGCGCACATGGAAGCGGCACACACGCGGCGCTCCGGTGTTTTCGGCGGAGCCGGGGCGGCCTCGGAGCTCCGGCCCTGCCGGRGATGCCCGGTTTGGGTTGGGGATGGAGCTGGATGAGCGCCCGGGGTGCCCGCGGTGGTGGCTCCATCCCTTTGGCGCCCGTTTATCCAGGAAAATTTGATTAAAATGCGATTTATGCCGTGAAGGGGAGATGGACGGTGCCCAGATTTGCTTTAGGAATTCCATCCCGAAGCTCGGGGAAGGCGATGGGCAAATTCCCAACGCGGGGAATGAACGGGTTTGGTTGGATCCAGTTTGGACCATCCCTCGGAGCCGCTCCCTGCCCGTGCCCACCCGCAGCACGGGATGTTCCCTGCACCGCTCGAGGGATGAGCTGAAATCTCCACCTTCCCCTTTGCCACCCTCATCCCCGACAGCTCCTAAGGAATTTCGCCGGGTGCCAAAGGAAATCATGGCACCGACAGGTTGTGGCGGAATCCGAGCCAAAAAACCTTTCACCTCGCCGGGAACGGCAGCCTGGCATTGCCAGAGCCCGGATTAACCCGGTGCGAGCTGTTTGGATGGCATGGGATGATCCAGGCCGGCCCCAGCAATGTGGAGATGGGATGGGGGAGGCCAGGGAAAAGCCGGGTTTGCACAATGATAAACCAAAAATCCTCAATCTACCCCAAAACCACCTTCCAGAGCAGGGCAGCATCTCCTGGCTGGGCAGGGAGGTGAGAAGGGAACCC